GAGCAAGTTTGGTAGACACATACTGCACTTTATATAATCTAAAAGAATCAAATATTTTGTGATATAGCACCACATCTTGTTATAATACTGTTAATAAATATAGTGCTAGTGGGTCACTATTCCATTAATACTGCTTTTAAAAACTTTCTTCAAACTACTTTCATAAATTACAATTACATTGATGCCTTACATCAACTATACCTAAAATCAAACCATATTTTTGCCTAGCCATCTAGTTAACCGTACAAAAATAACAAATAAAGCAGTAATTACAGTATCCCTTCCCTAAATATCTCAGCTGCATAATTTTGTTTCAAGAGGAGTGCTATAAATATTCAGCTTGTAAAATACCTACGTTTCCTGCTTTATATACCTCACTTTACCTTACTTATTTTACATATTTAAACCACTGAAACAAAAAATACGTTTTATTTAAGGTATACCAATTTTCCAAAAACTAAGATTCAGGAGCTATGTTACTTCCAAGTTTAGTTGAGTGATTAGTAAAATACACACAACTGGGACTAGAGTAGTACACTCACCAATCTGTTTTCATCAAACACTTCAAACAGGAGTCTATGATTAGTTGGGTTTACCTATAAAAAAAAAAAAAGTGTTACTTCATGCTCATTTCCTTCACAACATAAACCATTGATGGGTACAGTAGTTTGCTAAATGCGGGTTGACAGGCCTTGAATATAACTTAACTTTACCTACTGTGTAAATACCCATTTAAAATTCTAAATCTATAACTAGAAATATTCTGGTTTTCAATACTATGTTTTTACTTAGTTATTAATAGAGCACCTCTTATTCTACATCCCTGTTCCTTGAGAAAGCTCCCAACAGAAAGATGTTTTATGGAGGTCACTCACCAAGAGACCCAACCTGACAGAATCAGAATCTGTGGTTGATGGCTCTTGGTGAGTAGCATGTGAATGTTAAACTAGTTAATCAGAGGGGGCTGGAGCAGCTTCCTGCCTGCCACAGACAGGGAGTTGCTCTAGCCCCACAATGGCAAGCCCACAGCAGACAGGGGCTGCCTCTGTCCACAGCAGGTAGCCTTCACCCAGGGGCTGCTCCAGCCTGACATGTGATTTCCAGAGGAGCCTGCAGTGGGGAGGGTGAGGTGAGGGCTGCTCCAACCCAGCAGCAGGCATGGTGGGCACTCCAGCTAGACAGGAGCTGCCCTGCCACCCCCTCTTAATTTGGTTAACCAGTTAAACAATATGTTTAACCAGGTTAACCAATTAAATAGGATTTTACATCTCTACTGGTGACCAAGGTGTCAGACTGCTGGGTTATAGGGTCTTTCTTGGTATTGAAATTTCAGAGCTGAAGTGTGATACAGGAACTAGAATTTTTAAAAGAATAGTCTCCTTTTTATTGATTCTAAACATACTACTCAGAATTATGCAGCACCTCTATTTTTCACCCTCTGCCTACACCCAGTCTGCCACTGTTCCTACCCATTTTACAAATGACACTTGAGAAACACTGTGGATGAGATGAGAAATCATACTGAGAAATGAGTACACCTTCAGGATATTGTTTCCACAGACAGATGCTGAATTACATGAATCCCCTCAAAACAATGAATGTCAAGGAGGCAACAAGGCCACCATCGAATAAAGGCAGGTTTCTATGGTAGTTAATCCAGGTTCGTATACTTTTCAGGAAAGTGTAAGACAGGTGGCTAAGCCCAGTCCTCTATTTGAGGCAACACAGAGAATATATTCCTTAATAGGCAGACACTTATGTGGGTTTATTGACAGAGGGAAATCCCAAACTGAACTAGCACAAAGAGTGTGATCCCTCCAGTAGAGGAGTACACACAAGTACTAGTATGTGTCTTTCTGGGTAGGATTTTCATGAGTTTTTATAGCACTGCAGGGTTCCGTTTACATGTTCTAAGTAACAAGAGTTCTCATGGTCTGACTATGTCTTCATTCCAGGAAGAAGTATAAGGCGACCATGAAAAATATCAACAGATTCCATGAATACGGTAAATGTGTAGCACATATCCAATTTGCTGCAAATCCTGAATGCACACCAAAAGAAGAGCACTCAATTGCATGAGCTGTGCCTTCCAAACTGCTCTGCAACTCAACACTGTATAAAAATGGAGTTTTCCACCTGTCCAGTGTGGAATCAGTTCTGAGTTATTGCTGAATAATATCTGAAACAGCAGAGAGCCAAAAGCACTTATTTTGCTGGGGATAGCACGTAGCTGCACAAAGGTTTAAATTGACTAAAGGAAAGCATGCTGGTGTTTATAGACATTAATGAGCTGGAACTGCTAGAAAGGTATGAAGGTTATTTAAGGGCAGGTCTACACTAGAAGTGTTGCACTGATGCAGCTGTAGGGCATCCAATGAAGAAACTATGCTGCTGGGAGAGTGCTCTCTGGTTAGCATAAATATTCCCCCCCTGTGAGAGGTGGAAGCTATGTCAGTGGGAGAACATCTCCCACTGACACAGTGCCAGCAGCAACACTTGGACAGTGCTTAGGTGACTTAAACTTACATCACACACAGGGCGGGATCTTTTTAATACCCCGAGTGGCACAGGTTAAATTGACGTAAGTGGTAGCATAGACCGGCTGTAAAGCTTTGCCTATATTGACACAAAGTTGTTGTCTTATTGGCGGTGAGTTAACTAAGACGTGATAGGTGTCTGATTGCAAAACTCTACGTGGAGTCTAGGCAATTATAGTTTGCACACGGAGGCAAAGTAGATGAGGTCAACAATCTCCTCTTCCTCACTACCCTGCGACTGACCTCACCTAGTTTATCTTGTGTTGAAAACTTCAGTGCTGTCCCTCCAAGGGATTGCATGCAGTAAATACATAGCAGAGACAAGACACCACAAGGTAAATTAGGTCAGGTCAAGTCACAGGGCTGTGAAGGGGAGAATAGTATTGACTTTACCTTTACCTTGTGGTAGAAACCACTTTTTTTTAAAAAAAAATCAGTGAAAACAGAGCCGAAAATGTCTTCTTCCCCTCCAGAGTTAAGGTTGTTTGGGTGCCCTGATATTTGGATTCCTTTGAAGTTAATTTTTAAACACAGTATTTCCTAGGCGTTGGGTGTTTGGTAACTAGAACCATTTGGTAAGTTACTGATGTGTACTCAACATTACATTTAGCAAAGTAGGTTAACTGGGAATAAATACTAACCATACAACTGGTAACATGTGGTTCTAACAATGCCCAAACATTTTAGTGTGCCGCTTGTTTCTAAGACTTTTTTTCTGGAATCTTTAACAGGGTATCCTAAGAATCACTAACCATCTACATAAGAATGCCAAGCTTAATGTGTTTACATGTAACATGACCAGATGAATGTTCTACCAATGAAAAGCTTGCACACATTGCATCTTGTTGTGACTGAAATGGAAAAAGCTGGGGCCCGTCATACTGAGTTTAGTGCCAAGACAATTCCTAGTGATAGAAATGTAGCCGTGTTAGTCTGGTGTAGCTGAAACAAAATACAGAACTATGTAGCACTTTACAGACTAACAAGATGGTTTATTAGATGATGAGCTTTCGTGGGCCAGACCCACTTCCTCAGATCAAATAGTGGAAGAAAATAGTCACAACCGTATATACCAAAGGATACAATTAAAAAAATGAACACATATGAAAAGGACAAATCAAATTTCAGAACAGGAGGGGGATGCGGGGGGGAAAGGGAGGAAGGTAAATGTCTGTGAGCTAATGGTATTAAGAGGTGATAATTGGGGAAGCTATCTTTGTAATGGGTAAGATAGTTAGCGTCTTTGTTGAGACCGACGCGTAGAGTGTGGAATTTCAGCATGAATGACAGTTCAGAGGATTCCCTTTCAAGTGCAGATTAAAAAGGCTTCTGCAGCAGGATGCAGGTAATTAAGTCATTGAGACAGTGTCCTTTCTGGTTGAAATGGCAAGAAACTGTTTTTTCTTTGTGATCCTGTCTAATATCTGTTTTGTGGGCATTGATCCTTGGGCGAAGTGTCTGAGACGTTTGTCCAATGTACAAAGCAGACGGACACTTTCGGCACATGATAGCATAAATTATATTTCTGGATGCCTAGAGATTCTGCAGTACTCAAAAGAAGTTCCTTGTGTATTATATTAGAGGACTCAAAATAGGTACCTCTGGACAGACTATTTTAGGGAGAAAAATCTACTAGATTTCACGGTGTAAAAAGCTATTTCAGTGGAATTGAGATTTTAAAGTATTTACAATCTCCCCAAATTAAATAAACAAATATTCTGTTGTAAATTACCAAATCAGCATAATAGACTACATCTAAAATGAATTTTGAATGGATACGACCATTTTAACAATATTCACTGCCCATCCCTGTTCTGAAACAGCTGTTCTAAAGAATACATTTAAACTGTTGAAATTTTACCTAATCTATTCCAATAAAAACTACATTTGGACAGAAGATAAGTAACTCCTCCTTGAAAACTCTTTATGATCCCAGAACATCAGAGATGTTTTCTACCTTCACTATTTATATTCCATTAAATTTAATTTGGGGTATTTTGAGACCACTTCACATTTTGCAAATATCTGAAGTTTTTATGATAAGAATGTGAACTACAGTTAATAACTGAAAAGCACTAGATTAAGTATAGTTCTATAACAATTTTGACATGATTTTACAAAACTTAAAAAAGTTACAAGAGGAAAATAAATGTGATAGTCTCTCCACTTTCATGCTACTTGCCAAAAAATGCTCTTTCAATCCTCCTCTTCTGTGTTTGCAATTCACTCACTACTTTTTGCCATGCTAGCTCAACTTT